CGATTCCGGATTATCGATTTTTCCAGATTATAGATCATCAGTTTAAATCTCGTAAGATGGCATGCAGAAATTCTAAAATTAAAAATATGAAACCGTAATTTATGAAATAAAGAACAGTTATGATCTAAAGCGTATCAAAATTTGCAAAAAGAAAAAGCTTAATATTTATTTGTTTACTTAAATAAACATTTCTTTCAATGTAAGTTGTTTAAGTTTTGCTTCGTTTCATGTGATAATACTTTCTCTTTAATTCTATTAAACAGACATAATTTCTTGTTCAGTTACAAAGTTCCGCTGTTCAAGTCCTATAATTGCTGTGTCAAGAACACCGACTAATTTGTCAATCGAAATTTTTTCGTTTTCAATAACCTCTGTCACTTTTCTTCGCTATCGGAAGCGAATTATAATGACGAGGAACTTGTTTTAAATCATATCAAAGGCGGAGCATATCAAGATGAAATACTACATTTGGTAAGGAATTATAAGCCAAATAAAATAAAAACATCTGATCTTCAATTATAAGCCAAATAAAATAAAAACATCTGCGCTGAAGATAAGGATAGTGTTGACAGATCAACTTTCAATTCATTACGTGCCCGCCGGCGCGTTCCCCCCGCCGAGCAGCGTGAAATTGATAAACAGATTTCGAATTTCAAAACATACTTTCGCTTTAGATCCTTTACATATTAACAAATATATATCGGAAATTCTATTTGATATAATCGAAAGTTTAAGCTTACTTTTGTAAAATTGCTCTTACAGTCTGCAAAAAATAATAAGCCGGATCCAATTCGAAAATTAAGGAACAACGCAATCATCAACATTAACTGAAATAGATAATTAGATAATTTTAGCTTATACCTCCATTATACATAAAACGCGCACGCGAAAACGTATTCTGCACTTGCGCACACTCATATGTGCAGTCGTAAAAGGTCTTACGCGCACGCGTAAACGCCTATGAGCATGTGTCAACGCGGCGCATGCGCAGAAAGTTTTTAGTTTTGAGGTCCGGATTATAGATCATTCCGAATTATGGGTGTCCGAATTAACAACTTTTGACTGTACTAAAATATCTAGATGGGCATTAATGTTACAAGATTATGATTACACAATCGAACACAGATCTGGCACCCGTATGGGATATGTGGATGCTCTTAGTCGAAATCCTGTATGTATGGTAATTCAAGATGGTATAACATTTAAAATAATTCAAGCTCAAGAAACTGACGAAAATATAAAAGTTATAAAAGAAGTTTTGAAGTCTAAGCCATATGAAGATTATTGTTTTCAGAATGACGTGCTTTACACAATGGTGAATGGAATTGAAGCACTAGTAGTACCTGAGATTATGCAAATTGAAGTAATTAAAGACGCACATGAACGAGGTCATTTTTCTGCCAAACGTACTGAAGAACATGTGAGACAACATTTTTATATCCCTAAATTGAAAGAGAAAATTGAAAAATGTATCGCAAATTGTATTACCTGTATACTGGCCAACCGGAAATCTGGAAAGAAGGAAGGATTTTTACATCCTTTGCCTAAAGAAGATATTCCTCTAAACACTTACCACATAGACCATTTAGGACCTTTGGAGAGTTCTAACAAGAATTATAAATACATTTTCGCGGTTATTGATTCGTTTACAAAATTTGTTGGGTTACATCCAACTAAAACCACCTCTATAGTAAAGAAGTAATAGCTAAACTTGAAATTCAAAAATCATTTGTTTGGAAATCCCTGCAATATAGTAGCTGACAGAGGTACTACATTTACTTCTCAAGAATTTGTTGATTATTGTACTAAGGAAAATATTCATCTATCCTTAATCACAACAGGATTACCAAGAGCCAATGGACAAGTAGAGCGGTTGAATTCCACTACCATATCAGTCATTTCTAAGTTGGCTATAGATGACCCTACGAAATGGTACAAACATGTAAATGATGTCCAGCAAATAATTAATTCGACTTTTCAGAGGAGTATCAATTCAACACCTTTCGAGCTCTTTAGTTTGGTACGAAGATAAAGACGAATAAAGACAGGAAGATTAAAGAACTAATAGAAGCTGAAATTCAGAGGGACTTTATCGAGTCTAGAGAAAATCTACGTAAAGAGGCGAAAGAGCAGATTCGGAAGATCCAGGAAGAGAATCGAAAGACTTACAATCGAAGTCGAAAACTCCCTCGTAAATACAAGATCAATGATATGGTAGCTATTAAACGCACTCAACTAGGGCCAGGTATAAAGCTAAAATCCAAGTTTTTAGGTCCATACAAAATCACCAAGGTGAAACCTAATGACACATACGACGTGGAGAAGGTTGGTTTTACCGAAGGACCTTTCAAGACTAGTACCTGTGCTGAATACCTGAAACCATGGACAGACGATCTTTGATAATGACAATACCAATTTTGATGATTCCTGATTATAAACTTTTTCCCAGGTTGACAAATTTCTCCCGATTTGACTAATGGACTTGGACTATTATTTTAAAGACGTGAACTAATTTAAGAAGACTGAAGATGATAGCTAAGGATGAAATGTATGAAGAAATACGGCTTAAAGAAGATGATTTTGAGAAGACGCATTCGAATGACGGATCTTGAAGATATCTAAGACGCATTCAGAAGACGTATTCAGATGATGTTTAAGAAGACGTAAATACGAAGATGGATTGTTCCAGACAACATCAAAGGAAGACGTGTTTGTAAAATACATGTATTCAGATAGACTGTTAAAGATGAATGAACACTGAAAAAGCATTTAAGAAGAGCTAACGCCGTTATTTCTGAGGATGTTAAGATGATGAGAAAAGATGGCTGAAATAAACCATTTAAGACGACTTTTCCATCAATAGTAACTAAAAATCTTTTTTTTTTTTTAAATTTAATTTTTATATCCCTAGATGTAGACAGTGGTGCTACGAGAATACGAGGCTGCATTCCATCAGGATGGACGAGCAGTTGTGGGTTGGCATCGTTCATTATAATCGGCCATTATTAGCCCCTAGACAGCCACATCAGAAGTAAGTTTACGAACATCATATTCCTAGACAGTAAGTACCGATTCTACAATATGCAACTTCATAAACATATCTGACCTTAGACGTAACTTTAATCGTATATGCCTTTCAGTAATTTCGAGAAATGGAATTACTAGAGATTTCTCAGATGTAACTTAAATCATAAGTGCCTTCCAATAATTGTGAGAAATGGATTACTATATTTCTCAGCGGCAGAGTGCAAACTATATAAAACCAGGGAAAGCATCTGCTCTCAGTTCTTGTTTAGCTCAGGATGGTTCGGAGTATTGAAATATTTCATGTTAGTTTTGCTCTTTAGATGTGCTATGCACCGAGTTGCATTTAACATTCTTAGTAGTTTAAAGTGTAACTACTGATTGTACTCTGTAATATTCTGATCAGCTGTACAACTATTTTTGTAAAATGTTCCAGAACTGTGGAGTTTTTTTTTTTTTTTTTTTTTAGTAAAATAAATTTTATCAAGCTATCATCTGTGCTGTGTGCATTCAATCTCTTACGATTTCATACACAAGAATTTCCGGTGTCAGGAGCGGAGTTGAATGCCACTGACAAGAGCTCTAGAGAAGCAACTGAGATAGCTGTTGACTGTATTTGCTACATTCCATGAAAAGGTGGAAGAGATTCCATTAAAAGAGAAATGAAAGCAGGTCAAGAAAAGATGGAAGGAGCCGTTAACGAAGAAATGAAGTCTGGGCAAGAATCTGTTAAAGATGAGAGGAAAGCAGGTCAAGAGAAAATGAAAAGAGAAATTACTGCTACAGTAGAAAACAAATTTGTGGCTATGAAAGGCAGAACGTACGCAAATAAAGATATATTTGAAGAACTTCAAGAAAGAATTTCCACTGTTGAACAACAAATCGACCACAGAGTTTCTGCTGCTGTTGCCAAGGAAGCTGACAGTTTAAAATGTCTATAACAGCTGGCCACAATAAACAACACAGCCAAACAGCAGAACATGCTCTGTTTGATGTAACTTGGATACCAGTTTGAATATTACCTTTCTACACTACTTTGCATTACACAAAATATTGCAAAACTGAAATATTGTTCTGGCAGGAAATGGAAATGAGGGAAGATTAAAAAAAAAAAAAAAAAGATAAGTAGCTGAACAAAACTGGTTAGTTTGAAACTAAATCATTAACTTGAAGAAATTTACTTAAATGAAATAACTAAAGTGCAATCGCAGAAAAAGACAAATTTATGTGATAACACTTTTTTTGTCAGATTTAACTGGATGATTAACTTTGGCAGTGAATTATCACAGATAATAAACGAAAACTATCTTCAGTAATTTGAATTCCTAGCCTCATATATTTCTGTGACTGTGCATGTGATGCAGCAAATACAAGGCAAAATAATTTAATTAAAGAAAATTATACTAAAACTCTTGAAGAACTACAAGTGTACACTTGTTTTAAATGGATCATTGATAATTAACAATATATGCTGCAAATTGTCAGATTCATGTGATAAACAGGATCTCTAGTTAATCAAATGTGGATAATGCCCTTCAACATACAATTAACATTCTGATCACTCTCATTCTGTGCCAAAAAGGTGTTGTTATATTTGACAAAATCAAAATTATTGTGTGACTTGGTCAACAGTTTCATCAGTGTACCAATTACAATCTTTCAATGCAGTACTTTTCTGTGGACTTTAATAATGCCATCTAAACAAAGTATGTACATTTCATAAATTTATCTCAATTAAAATTCCCACTCTGACTGTGTATGTGTCTAATACCTTGTATGCAACAAAGTGAAGAATATTTTTGGCAATAATATTAATATCTGTAATTATACTAAGTAAGAAAACTTCTGTTATTACAATCTTTAAAATTATTATTTCTATCAATTACAATATAGAAAAACCCATATATCTCTAGAATATAATAAATTATACATGATCATATAAAAATTCAGTTATTTAAAAACAGTAAAATTTATACCTGTTGAGCAAGTTCTCGAGTTGGAGCTAATATCAAACCAATGGGGCCATCTCCAGGTTCTAGATCTTTCTGTAAAAAAAGTAAAAATATAGACAGAAGGGCAAATAGCAGGCAGTCAAAGAGAAAGCAGATAGATAACAGAAATCAATCTTCTGGAACAGTTTTAATAGCAAAAATTTTTTTATTTGTTTACATCAGGAATTTAGAATCAAAGATGTGGTAAAAAGTAATTTTATTCTACTGCAATCAACACTTTTGATGACCCTGAATCCCGATTTTTTAATGCCAAGTAGTAAAATAACTATCATCGATCAATTTCAAATGCTTATAAGCTTTATTTAAAGATCTAATTAAATCAATTCTGATAAAAAATATTTGATTTTCACCATATTTTGATCAATTTTAAACATATAAATTGGTATTTTTCTCTTATGCACCTACTATGCTTTTGGCAGGCTTTATAATTGTAAATAACTTATAAGAATAGTTTGGAGATGGCAACATTTAGGCTTTGGCAAATATTTGATTTTCATTTGGTGCTTATTTAAGCACAGTCCTCCTTTATGGATAAGATCTTTATCTACAAACAATATAATTGTTGCTTGTTCAGTATTCAATAAATCTTAAATTTTCAAATCCATTGTGGTAAAATAAAAAATAAAAAAAAAAAAAAAAAAAAAGAAATCTAAAAGAAATAGATTGTGTGAGAAAAGTGAATTGAGCAATGGTTTGGTCTGCAGAGGGCACTATCATTGGATCTGGGTGCCAAAAATCATGGCAGATGTATAACAGAAAAGTGATTATGAAGTTTTATTTTTATAGCATTTACATTTAGTACTTAACAACTGTGACCCCTTATCCAGATGAAATGAACAACTCCTACAGATTAAATTATCATGAAACCTCAGTTCCTGGAGAGAAAGTCATTATAATACAAAGATGGCTATGCTTCAGTCTGGTAGGATAAATCAAAAAATCTGATTTCTACACCACATGACTTCCTTGTAGGAATATTAAATTATACGCAATTTTTCTTGCATTATGTTTACACTTATTGGATTTAATTAAATCTACTTCACTGACAGCGTATAAACCACAATAGAATAAATGCATTCTTTAAAATTCACTCTATTTGTTTACCATAGCGACACTCTGGTGCTAGGTTCACTTAACAGTATTATATTTCGTTCATATTATAACTCAGAATGCACAAAATTTATATCATTTAAAGAGTTATCTAATCCTTGCCACATGTTCTATTCAAATACTATAATAAAGCTAGAACGATGTATAAAAAAAATTAAGCAAACAAAACGAAAAAGAAACAGTTTTTCACAGACGATTGAGTATTTCTCATTCAATTAATTCAGTTCTCATTTCGCGACAAGGCAAAAATACATAAAAACTCAAAATATCTGTATTAAAAATTAAATTACTAATATTTAAAAATTAAATTATAAAAATTAAGTAAATCTTAAACACTTATTTCCTCGAAAAAATTCCAGAAAGGTTTAAGCATGATTTAATTCGCAATAATAAATGAAGGCGTTATCTTTGTTGTTGCGAAGCTATGTTTTTCTAGATTGGCAACAAATCCACTACTCTGCTGTTTCAAATGTAAACAAGCAATGGCTGCCATCAAAAAAATTATTAGGCTTAGCGGCACTTAAACAACTTTAAAATTGTTGATAATTCTAAAAATATTGCATACAGATTTACTAAAGGCATAAAAACCTTAACCGGAAGATAAGAACAACATAATTCAATCATTTTTAAAGCAAAAAATATACAATTTACAAACATATAAGAGTAAAGAAACTGAGATCACTGAGCCGGGTAACAGAGTGGATATATATATAAATATATTTATATACGTTTGGCACGGCCGATTGCAACCAAAATATGAGGTGCACATCTACATGTTATAGTATATACAAAATTTCAACGTTCTGAGGCTACTCGTTTTTGAGTTACGCGAGATACGTACATACGTTCGTACAGACGCCACGTAAAATTCTCTTCAGAATTCATTTTAAAGCAGTTTTATAATAATTTTTTTTTTTTTTTTTTTTTGGAGGAAATAGTCTTTTATTCTGTCCTTACGTACAGATATCATGAAAAAATATCGTTAAATTGCATTCGAAAGCAGTCAAAATGAATATTTTTGTTGAAATATGCTGCCTGAAACTTTTCGCGATTACAATACTTCCTTTTTACTTCGTACAAGGAAGTAAAAAGGAGGTGGTAATGATACAATGCCCTTCCAATATGGATGGCATCAATCTGGATGCTCGAGTATCAACGGCCAGAAAAGGAACGAGACAACGAGAAAAATCCAGACAGCAAAACCACTTAGATGGACCCATTCTAGAGCATTGAAAAAGGCTGAACTACAAAGCTGCACAAAGATTACTGCAAGGTGAGGGTAAAAATAAAAATCCTCATAAAAAAAAAAAAAAACTGAATTTAGTGCTTAACATCAGAAGTTGCCAGTTAGTATAAAAAAATGGATACACTACTATCTGATATGAATATGCAAAGCTCACTAGCAAGCAAAAGTCTTTTATAAGAGTTGTCCCTCGGGTCACCCACTTCTTATAATATGTTAAAGCCAATCTCATCTCACTTGAGCCTGTCAGCAACCTGAATGAGTTGTCAAGAAAAACAAATGTGCTGGTCTGCTGATATATCACACCATACATATGTAATATACAAAGCATACTCACACATACATTGGTTGCTATGTGTATTGCCTATGTAATGACAATACGCATAGCAACCAATGTATGTACTAAGAGGTACCTTACATGTACAATACATAAAGCATTCATAGCCTCAGGCTATAAATGCTTTTGTTACAACTGAGTGCTTTAGAAACAGGTAGGAACAGTTGTATGATGTTTCTGTTGACATAGACCGATATCATCACTATTTACAAACTGCCATGTGACTTCTGGTGTACACTGGGTGAAAAAAAGGGGGGCAATTCCATATCACCCGTTCTACTGGGTTGATCAATGAAATTCAACTTCATTTTTCATGTCTCGAAAGCACGACTTAGGATACTTATTAGATTTATATACAACAATGTTCTAAAACAGGTATTTTGACACAAAATCAGACTTTTTCTGAAATGACATGCCAATTTTTTCCGTATTTTGATTACAACTCAAATTATGCCAAACTGCCAAGTTTCGTAAAAATCGCACGAGTAGTTTTTAAAAAATTAGCTCTCAAAATTTTAGCTCCTCAATGTTAACAACTGAATTTGATACATATGTATTGATATCTTTTTTTATTAAACTTACTTAATTTCCTTTTTCCAGAATTCGAAATTTAGGCTTAATCCAAATATAATTCGCACATTTTTTATGATTTATTTTTTAAATTTGTATTTTTAGATGTTTTTTTATAAATTTTTCGAAAAAATGTTGAATCATAACCTATAAGATTTTTACCATCATCTTACAGTAGATGTATTTCTAAGCATACCTGCAAAAAATTAGAGTTTTTTAATTCAAAGTTTCCTAAGAAATACATAAATTTACATTTTGGCACGTTTTGAAATTTGGTGTACTTATTACAAGCAATAATAACGAAAATGTGATTTAAGCACTTTGTTAAAAATTATTTGAAGGAATGAAAAATGACTATTTTCCGCTCGTCTATAATGAAACAAGTAATATAAAAAAAAAAAAAAATTCCTACCTCGGTCAACAAAGAAAAATTTTATTTTAGTTACGTTTTACTAACATTAATAATATTTTTCATTTCTAGTTTCTGAAGCTGATTGTGAATCTTTAGTTCCAATAAACAGGAATAAATAAGTAGAAATTGACTTTAATATGTGAAAAAACTGTATTAACATCAAGTGTCATCCACTAGTTTAAGTCAATCCACTAGTCAAGTTTAAAAAAATGTATTTGTACTTTAGTGGATGAATAAAAAGCATTTTATTAACAACTGAAAATTTGAACAAGATATATGGATAGTGTGAGCTAATAGTAGGAATTTTAAAAAGAAAAGGAAAATATGTTACTATAAATTAAGAAGATCGCCAAGTAAATTATTCTTGGCGAAAACTGAAAAAAATATACGTCAAGATAAATTTCTGAATTTCTCCGTAAATTTCGCATGAAATTTTACAAAATTTAATATTTAGGCATAATGAGTCATGGAATTGAAATATGGAAAAAAAATGGCATGTGATTTCAAAAAATGTCCAATTTTGTGTCAAAATACCTATTTTAGAATGACGCTATATATATTTCTAATAAATATTTTAATTCGCGCTTTCGAGACATGAAAAATGCAATTTCAACTCCATCAACTGGCCCAGTAGAATGGCAGATATAAAACTGTCCCATTTTTCATTTTGCGATTTTGTGTTGATTCACTACAAAAGGCGAATCACTCTTCAAACTGTTGCCACAAAGTATTATTGTCTTGTGTTATATTTAAAGAAATTAAATAATGAAAAATCTGCATAAATGTAGGTAAATTTCTCGCTTTGTGATAAAACAACAGTACATAGAGCCATCGAATTTTCAATGATGTAATCCTCCTACAAATATGGGCATGTGGAAGCCCAAATTTGGAATTTGTTTTATTATTGATTTCCTATTTTTTAGAACTTTAACGAATTTTTGTTTAACAAACTCAAGAATTTCAAAGCGAGCAATGGCAATGTTGTACAGAAAAAATACTTTTATCTCCAACGTGTGAGCCTCTGTATCGGAAATTCTAAAGATTTGCTCATTTTAAAACTATTTTGCAATATTGCTGTTGAACTGAATTTTATGTTTTAAGTGCAAAGAACATGATATTTAATAAATAAATGTAACACACAAAATGTTTAAAAAAAAGCCTCTTTGGACGTAATTTAAAATCTGAAACATTTAAGTTTTTTTTTTTTTTTTTTTTCTTTTTCTTTTTTTGTGTGTGTGTTTGTGCAGTGTACATCATGAGGTGTAGAGGAATCAGACATAACACATGATACAGCATTTCTTTTTCAAATAACTCTGATACCTTCCGTGATAATCCCGTACAATGATGAAAGTATACTACTTGCTTGACAGGAAGAAACATTCCACAGAAAAGCATCATACTAAGCACAGCCCCAAATTTCATTGACCTTAATCTTATACAGCATCTCTGGGAATTGCTGCATTATGGAATGTATCATAAAAATACCAGCACATTTATGCAGGACATTCATAGTTTGTCAAAAGAAAACCTTTCACTGCAAAGTTGTGGGTAGCCAACAAAAGAACAACCTCCTATTATGAATGCATCCTGCCTATGAGGTGTTATAGAATATTTACAACCATAGATATTTTTTCTGGTAGAAACTTTTCCCGGACAAAAACTGGAGAAAAAAAAATTAATTACATCAATATATTTGTATTTATTTATTTCATTTATAAGGCTTTATAAGTCAATTATAGAATATTATATCAGCACATAAGCATACATATTACAAATGCATTAATATAAAATAATTTTTGCTTGATTCTAGGAGGAAACAAGTGCCTCTTATGGAGTCTTATTCTACAGACAATCTAACATCAACAATCTTATTCTGGCCTTTCAAGATATATAGGATCACACTTCCTTAGATGTATATCAGCATCTGGGAGAACCCATGATATGATAATGTTACAGCTGTTTTCTGGATTAATGAAATACTAAGTACTTTATCACATTTCAATTAACACTGAGCATACTTTTTAACGGCATTTAGTGAAACACTTGTGCTTTCACTAAATATTGGTATTATAGTATTTAATCTATATTATTAAATTTAATCATGCTTATTGGTATTTAATTTTTTTATTGACATGAGTATGCCACTAACACATAGTTATTCTAATTTAATTCAAATTATGTTAATAGATAAGAAATAAGTTATCATAAGGCACATAGAGGTTATGGAGATTTCCCATGCAGAATTTTCTAAAGAAAATAAACATCTTTTTCACTATGCTAGAATAAAATGTCACCCTGTAATCAACAGATTGAAGGCATATTTTAATGGTTCTCGCTGCTTGAAATTAAACATAAGACAAAGTTTAGAAATTTTAATGATCTGATTGTATGCGAGCAGTAAGTATGCCTCTAAATTGTTAAAGTATACTATCATTGTTTTCATTAAAAAAGATGAAGAACTATTTCTAATATCAAAATAAGATTCTTGATTTACTCCATTCTTATCCAAGAACATAAACATTAATTAAAAAAAGTACAGAATGCTTTTTTTAACCATTTTTAAAATTTTATGAAAGCCATGCATCTTTAAAATTAATATATATTCTTACCTGATCCATTATGTGAACAAGTAATGGCCAAATAAATGCTGCTGTTTTTCCAGATCCAGTCTTTGCAATCCCAATTACATCCCTACCAGACAAAGCAGCTGGTATGCCCTGCATTATGCAAAGAAGTCAGTATCACAGTATTAATCAAAAGTATGAAAAAGAGAAAAATATATATTGTAAGTACAGAATTAAATAATTTGTACATATATTCCAACAACTCCTGTACACTTTAGTGTCATTATTGAAAAATCAACCAATGCCATCAATTAAATGTCTTGAAAATACAATTGTGAATTTAAATATACAATGCAAAGTCTGAAATCTGGACGTCCATTATCCGGAATAATCTAAAATCCGGACCTCAAAGCCACAAACGTTTTTTTTTCTTTTTTTTTTTTTTTTCTTTTTTTTTTTTTTTTTTTTTTTTTGTATGCTTTGCACATGCGCATTTCATTATTCCTTCCATAACAAAACGTGGAGATTTTCACTTAAAAATTCCAATTCTTAATTTCACTTAGGCACTAAATAAAATACATCGTTATGAAAAAAAAATCATGTAAGCATAAATTTGTGAGATTAATAATTTGGCTCCGTAGCTGAGTGTCTGCTTGGCATTACATCTCAAACCAAAACATTCACCTATTTTATATCCCTGGCGAATCATTATTTATTATATTTTGCTTTCATCACTGCATGTTTATCAATACATGACAGCTTCAGTAATAACTGATGCAGTGATGTCTAAACTTTTTATTTATATTAGTAATTGAATAACAAGAGTAAGGCAACCTTTTCTGCTAACATTATGCTTGGAGATGATTATAGATTTTTTTTAAACGCTCTAAGAAATGTTGATGAGGAAAAATTCAACAAACTTTCTTTTCATATGCTAAAAATAGATTTTGTTAATGAAACTCATAGGCCAAAAGATTACATTTAGTGCTATTTTAATTAAGAATAACTGATATGTTATTCACCATAAACCCAGAAGCCGTAGCAAAATTTAGGGAAGACACAATTTTTCGAATTTGGGAAAGCACTGAGTGGCAAAATTAAGGGATGAGAAGTTTTTTATAATTTAGAGGAGAAAGCACTGGGATTCAAAGTTTAGGCGCGGCGAAAATTTAGAACTTAGGAAGTCGCTTTGTAGCATAATTTAGAGACTGCACCAGGCGGTATCTAGCGCCGGCCCTAGATAAAGCGTTAAATATATGTGGAAGTTTATTTATTCAGGACTCAGATTAGTCTTAAGTATGTGCAAGAAATAAACATATGTACAGTAAATAACTAATGCAATTCAGGCTTAATTCAGTATGCAAAACGAGCAAGACAAAATTTAGCGGAACAACTTGGTTTTCATCGCAATCTTGTGATACATAGCCAATAATGTATGATGGATGCTATTAAGGTAGGCTTAAATTATCTTAACTGTTCGAAGGCATTTCAGTTAATGTAGCAGACTGTGCTGCTCTTTAATCTTCTAATTTGATACAGCATATTATTTTTTGAAGACTGCTATTATTACAGCAATTTTATAAAAATTAAGCTTGAACTTTTGATTATATCGAAAAGAGTTTCTAGTTCTGGAGCTGCCAAAGGATCTAAAAAGCGAAACCATGTTTCGATGTCCATTAAACAAAAAATGGATAAAGGCATATACGTCTCAAAATTATGCGAGGAGTATGGCATTGGAAAGTCAACTGTATATGACATAAGAAAAAGGAACTTTTTGAATTTTTTATCGCAGCTATTTAAACAACTTACATTGAAAGAAATGTTTAATAAAGCAAAAAAATAAATATTAACCACTTGTACTACGACTAAACTTCACGGTTGTGGTGCTGTGCGCTACAATATAACAAGCGGTAAAGTGTCTCATCTACTCATCTTTTAAGCGCAAGTGGTTAAGCTTTTGTTTTGTGAATTTTGATACCCTTTAGATCATAATTGTTCTTTATTTCATAAATTATGATTTCATATTTTTAATTGTCTAATTTCAGCATGCCATCTTACCCAATTTAAATTGATGATCTATTATCCAGAAAAATCCCAAATCCGAAATTGTGACATCCGGATTTCGGATTCTGTACTGTATTTCATAAAACAGTAATTATGTATTATCCTGTTGAGTGTGAAAATTAGGTAGAGCTGAATCATGGAAAATGGAGGAGATCTCACAAAAACTGCACCAATCGTACTAGCGATATTTTCAGATAACTGATGTCTATTTAACTTGCTTCGTTTTTGCACTTCAGGAAAAGGCTTTTCTTAATTTTTACTGTTTTTCTATCCCTCCCCCCAATTTTAATGGAAGCTCGTTTAGATTGCTATGAGTACAAACACCCCGCAGGTAAATTGTTCCAGTCCATTACAGTTTTGTTGGCTATCTGCAGCTGGCCATCTTTCATCCATTAATATATAAGGTGTGGCTATTAATTTCCAGGACTGCTCTAATAACATCAGAACAGATGATGTGAGAAGCGTAACCTTTTAATATGTTTCAAAGTAATCCTCAGCTGCCATAATACACATCTGTGCTCGGCTGTATAAATTGTGGAAACAGTTTTTAAAGTCCTCTTTCGGAAGGCTCTTCAATGTCGACGCTACATTCTTCTTGATGTCAACATCTACAAAGCATGTTCCTTTGATCACAGTTTCGAGTTTGGGAAACAAAAAGAAGTCTGTGAGGGCCAAGTCAGGAGAGTATGGCGGATGGTGCAGTTCCACGACCTCATGCTCGGCCAAAAACCTCTTCACTGACAACGCAATGTGGGGCGGACATTGTCATGCAACGTGACGTCGACAGTGAGGAGCCTTCCGAAAGAGGACTTTAAAAGTTGTTTCCGCAACTTATACAGCCGGGCACAGAAATGTATTACGGCAGATGGGGATAACTTCGAAACATATTAAAAGGTTACGTTTTTGACATCATCTGTTCTGGTGTTATTAGAGCAGTCCTGGAAATTAATAGCCACACCTTGTATACATTTTTATGGATTCCCATAACTTTTAAAATAATCTTACCTCATACTGTTCTGTAAAAGGCAGGCCACAATATGTAATCATCTTTTTTTTTTTTTTTTTTTCCCCTAAATGCAAGGAAAAATACAGCAATAACAACTAATTCTTGTTCATAAAAAAAAAAAAAAAGTGACTTAGCAAGAACCAATCAGGATGTTATTAGTGTGTTGTTATATCATGCTTATTCATTGTTGGTGAAAACTTACACTGCTTGGCGAGAGTTTCATGACTGACGGAATAATATGTAAAGTACCTGTAAATCTCTTCTTGGTACCTGTTTGCATATATGTACTAAATAGACATCTTATTAACACACACAAATAAACCAAAAATTCAAACAAAAATTGTGGAGCTATCTCTTGAGAAGATAAAGATTGTAAGAACACACCAAGCCTATGGAAATTTAATTTTTATTTAATGCAATTTATCAACAGAAAGGTATTATAAAATTTCTAAAAAAATTTTTCGAGATGTATGTCTTTAGAATTTTTGCTACTTATGTATTATCCGTCGACCAAGAAACTGTCGCCAAGCATAATTTAGTGTCAGTTAGAGATAAGTGTAACATAACAACACACTCATAACATCTGTGCTTTGTAACCCTAATTCATTCTTGATAAGCCACATCTTGTTTTTATGAACAAGGATATAAATCAACTATTATTGATAGATTTTTTCTTGCATTTTGATTTAAAAAAGTATTAAAATTTCTGAGCTGCTTTAACAGAAAAGCAGGTACTGGATTTGCACCCATAGCATTTTAAACCTAGCTTCCAGTCAAATCAGAGGGTCTAACAATACAGCAGAATCTGATGAAAGTCTTTTTATGAGATTAGCAATGAAAGACAACTTCTCAAGCTAAATTTTGTCTTGCTTCATTTGTGCAAAGAAACAGTTAATCCTGAATTGTATTAGTTTAGTTATTTATTATACTTATGACTTGCCCATGTTTAAGGATTATCAGAGTTCTGAATAAATAAATTCCCCCATATACTTAAGCCTTGAGGTCCGGCGCTAGATATCTTACCACCTGATGCAATCTCTGTGGGTCCTAAATTCTGCGACTCAATGTTGCTATACGAGCCCTGGCGCTGGTTCTGGGTTTATGTGAATAACAAATTAGTTATCCTTAATTAAAATAGCCCTAAATGTAATCTTTGGGTCTATGGGTATCATGAACAAAATCTATTTTTATCGTATGGAAAGAAATTTTTAGTAAATTTTTCCTCGTCAACACTTTTTAGCGCATTTAACTTAAATCTGTAATCATAGCCAAGCGTAATGTCAACATAAAAGATTATTCAATTACTAACATAAAAATTGTTTAGACTTCGCTACATGAGTCATTACTCAAGTTGTCATGTTAAGATAAACATGCGGTGATGAAGGCAAAGTATATTAAATAATGATTTGCCAGGTTGGTGTCAGATCATTCATGTATCTATGTGAAATGTTTCGTTTTGAGAAGTGTGCCAAGCAGACACACAGCAACACAGCCAAATTACTGATCATACAAATTTACGCTAAAATGATTGTTTCTTCAATAACAAGGTATTTTATTTAGTGCCGAAGTGAAATTAAGAATCAGAACTCTCCAGATGTTTTATTATGCGCGGAGGAGAGAATCAAACATGCATGCTTAAAGCCTAAGAGAAAAAACGTTGTTGGTGGTTTTGAGGTCCAGATAGATAATGTACGTCCGGATTTGGGACTTTTATACTGTACTTTCCCCCCCCAAGCTTATAATGAGATACAATTTTTCCTTCATTTACGACCTTCTGTTGTTTAAGTTCTATTATTGCCATGTTAAGAATTCCCACTAAATGGACAAATGAATTACTTACATTCTTAATAATTTATCTATCACTTTCTTCACTATCAGTTGCAAATGTCTGGATTTAAAATCATAATACAGATTTCACCATCTGCTGATTCAAGCTCGAGACACTGTGATTACTATGACGATACAAGTCACCAGTTATATCACCTCCATTTAATATTAATTTGCATTTCTTCATGTATTCCATTAACTGAAAAACAACAGAGTTTAAAGCCATACAATTTTTATTTATTTTGTTTTGGTATAATTTCTCTATGAAAATTGTTTTCGCATTAAATGAATGATGACTGAGGCATTGTCATCAAAATGGAAGATTTCAATTATATTATATTAACATTTCTTCATATATGATAGTAATGAGAAAATTTTGCTTTTTACTTGTGATATTCGAAAACTTTTTAATTCAAGGGCTATCAACATTCTCATCATCTAACTTGTTATAAAATATGGCAAGCATTTTTAGAAATATCTATATAACTCTCTCACAACCTTTCAATTCTCTACTTAATACATTTTATATTGAAATATTTCAAGAATTTCTGGATAGTTTTACAGGTCTGAAAAGGCTACTTTATATCTGGACTGTACTTAAGCAAACTTCGGATGTTTACTGTCTGAATGACAGATGTACAAGTGTGAAAAATGAATGAAATGGAAATTTTGTGTTTTACTAGAACACTGGTTTGGTAAGATTATTAATAATAGCCAACACAAAATAATATGCTGCATTAAATAAGAAAGTTAAGAAACAGCACAATCCATAATGCTAGCTGAGCTTCTTTCTTTCCTGCTACACACACACAAAAGTATAAGCAATATTCAACTTCAAACAAACATGGATCTTCAGGCTTCATTTATTGTGCACAGAGCTAAATGAGAGCAATAAATGCTATCCTTCCATCACTCAATGAACAAAATTAAAATTGTGCTGCTCTAGCATGCCGGTGTTTAAAGGCGAAACAATATGCCAGATGACTGAATACCAATGTGAATTACGTTCCTTGGCAAAGGAAATCTCAGCTAATTAAAGGAAAATATCAATTATGACACTCTTGCCGTTTTCTCGTATGTCATATTCTCCATTCTTATTTCGCTGTGTATATAAAAAAAAAAAAATTTAAAGGAAGCATAGAAAGTCTGGATCCTTCCCATTATTGGACATCCAGATTTTGGACTTTGTACTATAAAACAGCTTTAAATATTACTGGCAAATTCTCATACATTTGAAATAGGTAAATAATAATGTATATGTTACTTGCAATGTATGAAACGCAACCTCAAGAGCTGCATGTCACTTTTTTTCTCGGGTATATTTTTCATCTTGTGAAATTAAAGTGTTAAATAAGGTCATTGCTGTGTTCTATCAATGGAGTTTGCTTCAACTGCAAAACAAGTATCATAGTCCTGTATTGTTTGTTTTAATAATTTATTATTATTAAACCTTACCATGAACAGTTAAAATATATAAATACAGAACTTTTAATTATAATTTATCAAATACATATACAATTTCAATTTTTTTCATTAACATGAACACCCAAAGTTAAATTCAGATATGAAAATTGTCATTAAAAATATACCTGAGCTTGTATTGGAGTAGGTTGGGTATATTCAGACTTCCTTATGGCTTTCATCAGTTTTTCATCAAAACCAAAATGAGCAAAACTTGTGACTAATTTTGGTGGTAGAGCACCAGATACTTTGATTCCCATTTTATTTCGAAGTTGCTCCACTTCTTCTGGTGATAACTTCAAAATTTCTTCATGCTCTTCATAAAAATTTTTTTCAAAGTCATGGTATTCAATCTCTGAATGATCAATTTGAGGCAAAGGATCTATGTACTATTGAACAAGAATGAGGTTATTTTATGCTGTTAAAATGCTTAAAAACAAGACAAAAACTAAAAATTGTTTTCAATAAAAGTATCTTACCTTTGATTTAGCAGGTGCTATAGGATTGCCATCCTCATCATATTCCAACTCTCCTTCACTTTCTTCCTTCTCCTGACCAGCTGTAGGGTTTTCTTCCATATATCGATAATATGATTCTTCATCATCTTCATTTTCAATGTCATCCCGTATACCTCTGAATGAACAAAATTAAAATATATTAATATTACTATTATTACAGTTATTCCTGGAATTTGAAATTATAATTATCTAGACAAGACAACAGAAATTCTACACATCCAGAATAAATTATACTACCTATTATACTCTGATAAAAACTAAATTTCAGACATCAAAATGAAAAAAAAAAAAAAATTCTTTACATGCATCAGAAAATTTTCAGAATAGTTATTAGAGACTCATTTTTTATTTAAGGCATCAATGTGAATTGACTTTTCTGTAATATTTTATAGTGTCTATATTTATAGTGAATGTTTATATATAACATTATGTAAAATTTTCCTTAGTCTAATAATGGTATGTAAGAGAGTATGATGTTGATTGAATTTTTCATGTTCTTTCATATATTTTTTATTTAATAACTGCACAATTCTTTAAATATGTTAAATTTAAAATTTCTGTTTTAATGTTCTTTATGTTTTTAAATCTAATTCTGCTACATTGCAAAAGCTTAAAACCAGATGCAGCAACATTTTAAACTTTGGAAAGTTCATTTTACAAAAGTCAAGTTACTACTAAAAAGTATATTTTTTTGCAGTGCACAAATCATCTAATAGGCATATATTTAAAAGACAGTTTCATATCAATGTTTTATTGAAATGTTAAGTGTTAAAAGTTAAAATTTAAGTTCAATTAAATAAATAAAAATATACTCTAAATAGTATAATTCTTAAGACACAATAACACGCCGAATAAATACTAATCCAGAAGTCAAACAAGAAAAATCAGCGTTATATTTACAAAATTTTCACAGGACTAGTTTTGATGGTTTTACTGAACCACCATCCTCAGCTGCAAAACTGCAAATGAACAAGTTAGGAAATAATGTTTAGATAAGATAAAAAAGCCTGGACAAGAATAAAGCAAGTGGCGCCATCTGTTGGTGAAACCAGAACTAAAGCATAATTTCTTTAAAGGCCGAAGGCAAATTTGAATTGGAATTAGGATTGTTAACTAGAACAGAAAGATTTTTACGAATGTGAAATGCCTCTAGAAAATCCAGTTCTCCAATGGAAGATGTTTTTTGAATAATTTTGGCAGCAGAAAAATTGAAAGTGTGGTTTTTGGACCAACAATGTTGAGCAACAGAAGACTTCTGTGTTTCCTTTTTTCTAACATATGCCTCATGTTCCTTGATGCGAAATTTTAAGGCTCTCTTAGTTTGGCCAATGTAAATTAAACAACACTGGCAAGGAATCCTACAAATACCACAGGAATTCATATCCGGAATGGGGTCTTTGAGTATGGAACTCGGAATTTTATTGATGGGAGAATAAACAACTCGAAAGTTAAATTTCTGCAAATTATGTGCAACTTTATAGTTAATTGATGAAAACAGGGTTCATAAACATTTCTGCACACGGAAATTAAGTACTTTTAAGGACCATTAATGGGAAAAATTAAGGACCTATGAGCAAATGGGAACTGAATAAATTCAATTAAAAATATTATTCTATGCCTGAATTTCACTTTTGTAATACCATTCTAAAAATAAAATAGATCCCTAAGTAAACCACATTATTACTAAACATGAATTAATTAACATAATTATTAATAAGTTTGAGAATAAAATAAACTTCATGCAATTTATTAAGTAGCATTAAATATTTTACACTTAATAATAGTTGTGCATATTTGAAAGAAGATAAGTGATATTTACGTTTTACTAATAGTTAGCTTTATGCTGATTTTTTTTATCTCATTTTGTCACATATTTGTCAGTCTAGAGGTTTAGTAAATATCAGGTATTAGATTTTACACCAAACGGAATAGATTAAAATGAGAAGTAAGATCATAATCAGCATGATTCATAACAAAATACTGAATGTTGTCACTGCTGCTGATTGCCTAGAGAGAGAGACATATTGATTTGAACAGTCCTGAAAGGCCTGATGAAGGCATGGTTGGCAAGTGTTGAAATTTAGTCAGGCTCTGTTTGATGCACTTAGTGTCATAGCTTTGTGTAAAATTCCAGGGGTTGCAACCCAGTACTTTCAGGTTCCTAGTAAGCCATTAAAGCAACCAGAGGTGATAAGTTGTTTTGTATTAATTTAAGTCTCACTAGATGCAAAGTATAAGTTTTACTTGAATTTCTACATTTTTGTGTTTTATCTTGTGACCACAGTGAGTATTAATGAAAGGCAATAACTCGCCTTAATATGTAGAAATAATTTTTAAGGGTAAGCAGTTAGTTATAAATAATTAAATTAGGTAAATAGGTAACCTTAGTCATTATGCATTTACATGGCCCACTATTAAATTTATTTTTAACAATATTGTTAAAAAAGCCTATTAAAATCAAAATCTAATAAAATTGCACAGTTTAAAATACATGTAATTTATGACACTGATTCTTAAACGATATTAGATTAATTACACATTAAAAGCTACAAAAAATTAATGTTTTGTAACAAAAACACTCAACAATACGTTTACCTGTCATTTTAATTTGAAGCCTTCCCAAATATTTTGGACACTTTATATTAAGCATCTTCTCTAACAATGAGAGATTTGTCTCAATATGCAAACCAATGCTCTCGCTAGTTCTGCGGGCTTATCTCCCAACTTATCAACCTCTCCACAAAGTACCTATGAGGGTTTAATTGATCTGGTAAAAGTTAAATAGTCCCAAGCCCCAGACAGACATGAAGCAAATTATCGCTATGTCTGAAAGTAATTACAAATCAGGCAAAGGTTTAAAGAATCTCTTATTTAAAAGAACTAGAACATAAAGGCATGTTCTGATGGTAACAAATCAATTACATCTCACGGTGATGTAATTAAATAAGCAGTCAATCAAACAAAATGTGGACTAGTGTCAAAGATTTACAATTCAATTTAAATTTAATCTGGCTCAGTAATCTATCATTTGAGGAAATAGACATGGAAATTATAGTAAAGACTGAAATCATAAACAGTTGGGTAATTACATAATAATAACTGCACATATCTTGAAGAATAATTTTCTTTATGTTTTCATTTCTTTCTTCAACACGTTTCCTTTTCATTTTAGAATTTGGGATTTAATTAAGGATTTCTCTTATTCTAAAAAACACTAAATGCATTTAGAATATATAAAAAGTGGTTAATTTTATTTCTTTAGTAATATGAATATTCAGAAAAATATGAATAATATGGTAAAGGCCGTTACAAGCTGGTGGCAGAATGTTTAGAATTAGTGACACACGGAACACAAAATAGAAATGGAAACTCTTAGAATTTAGAGCAGACATTGGAACAGAATTTAAAAGGCACTAGACAGCAATTAGGATCCACGAGATTGCTTTTATATATTTAGAAAGACAGTGTCTTATTATATCTTTATTACATTTCATAATAAGTTTGAGATTTAAATTCAATTATGTTTGTTTTAAATTTGATACCACAGTAATTTTTTGCATTTAAAAATGATATTTATTATTCATTTTTTAAATTTTGTTACATCAATAGTAATACTAAATTCAAAAGTAGAAAATGAATTCTATTTGTGGAAAATCCCTAGTGCCCACTCTGTGTATGATGCATAAGACATATTAAAGGAACCTTTTAAATTGTCAGTTTTCAGTTCCTCTATTAATAAAAAAATTCCTTTCCTCTCCATGTGATAAGATTAGAAACATTATTAATATTTCCCATGCTTGTGTCTAGTGAAAAGTAGAGAAAATAAAGGGAAGATAAACATGTTAAAAAAAGATTCTAGAATCAGGAGTAAACATCATGTTCATTGTCTTCCAGACTTCCAAAAAATAAGAATTTATCACAAACTTTTTGTAAATACATCCATTACGTGTTGATACTATGGAGATATTTTTCATTGTCACATATTTCTCGAATCTTCTAGAATCGTGTCTATAAATCTTGCTTTCAAATAATTCAACTTTCCCATCTGCCATGTCAAATCCCACGAAAATTATCCCTGCCAATTCTGTAACAGCAAAAAGCCAAAAATATTGGAAAAAATGGGGAGGGGAAAAAGTGTAAATAATTTTATAGAGAAAATTGATGCATATTTTGAGATTTTGAATTTCCGAGACAATTACCCGGGGGAAACTCTACTAACAAAATAAAAACATTTTTAATTTAATTACATACTAATTTGCTTTGCTAAATCTTTTCGTAAATTATGCTTTAATTTTAATTCTTGTTTATTTTTCAGATTTAAAATTGTTTTAATAAGTTGCCAAAATGAACTTATATGACAGCAAAAAATAAAATGTTTTATTTTAATGTTATTTTTAAATATATTTCAATATGTTACATTATTTTGAATGAAATTTATCATCTTATGATGTTTTAAAAAAAATCGACGACAATTTTTCAGATCTCAAATCTTAAGCTGTTTCGCAAATTGGCTTTATAGCATTATACCTTGTTATTTTTCAGATTCAAAATAGTATAATAAGTTGCCAAAGAAACTTTATAATTTGACAGCGAAAAATAAAAATGTTTTATTTTATGTTATTTTTTTAATTTAATTTCATAGATTACTATATTTTAATGAAATTAATCAATTTTGCAATGTTTTAAAAAAAATCGTCGAAATTCCCAGATCTCGAAATTAAAATTTTCTATAGAAAACTGATTTAAATTTGCCAAAATGGTTGATAAGTCGCCAAATTTAGACCGTTTAATAAAAATTCACATCCCAAAAGCGAAGTTGTTTAAGTTCTCTTTATTAAAAAATGAATTTTGAAAGTTTATGTTCACTCTGCTTAGAAACTCAAGATCCCATTATTTATATTAGAAACAATTAAAACCCATGAGCCCATCAAAAGATAACCAATAGTCAGTGAATACCACAAAAATTTCCTCCAAAATAATTCACACTCAAAGTGGCAAGCGTATAACGACGAAATTTCAGATGATTAAAATTGTAAGGATTTACTTCTGTGATTTGGCAAAATTAAGATTTTAAGAACCAAACATAATTCCAAAAAGTCTAAGGACTTTAAGTCTTAACGACCGTACGAACCCTGTATTTTATGTAAAAGTATACTGTCTGACAACAGATAACTTTTATTCATCATCTGAAATAGCAGATGTCCTGATTAGTTGCTGCGCTGATATGTATGGAACATTAAAAACTTCAGAGAAAGGAAATTCCTAAAGCACTGTTGACAGCAAATTTTCAAAAAAGGCAAATGGTCGCTTACCAGAGAGGAAAAGTGTGCATTATGAAATGGATGGACAAAAAAGCCGTGTCTCTCATATCTACAGTACATAATCCAGAAATGGTTCAAGTACCCACGTACAAGAATGATAAAAAACAAAAACTGAGGGTAGTTATGGAGTACAACAACACAATGAGTGATGTAGATTGAATAGACGAGAACCTATATACTTAACCTATGTTAAAAAATGGGGGGGAAGAAATACAACAAAAAAGTATTTTTTCATCTTCTAGACATCAGTTTATGGAACGCTTATGTGCTGTACAAGAAACATGTTGGTAAAGATACATGTTGGTAAAGATACAGTTTCTATTAGATATTATCGACCGACTAATTGAAAGATATGCAGCAGAAGAAAGAAAAGCTCGACCTAAAAATTTACAAACTCTGCTAAGACTGACAGAGAGATATTTTTTAGAGGTGATTCTACATACAGACAAAAAACTATGACTTGCAAGACAGTGCTATGTGTGTTCACTGAAAAAAAAATTACAACGGCAAAAGAATTAGAAAAGAGACTAGGTATTTTTGTCCAGACTGTGACATTGGACTATGTCTCTTGCCCTGTTTCAAGATGTATCACACTAAATCAGATCTTTAAAAAACAGGGTAAGTAAATGTAGTTGTAGTACTTGTAATTTAAAATAATTATGCAGTATCTGCAATCGGAAATAATTGTGTAGTAATATGCACAACTGTAAATTTAACTTCCCTATAAGGCAACCATGAGAGAGAAAAAGACAACTTCCAGGCAAAACACAATTATTTTATGCCCTGTAAGAAAGTTGTTATAAATGCTTAAAATAATTAGAAATATTACTTTTAGTAACATTTTCCAGCTTACAAATTTAAAATGAACAAAAATATGCAATAAAATAATTTGACATTTTTTGGATCAAATTCATAAAAAAATGAAACTGTTAAGGGATATTGTTTTTCTACAAGAAAAAAATCAAATAAATCAAATTATGCATTCTAATAGAACTGCCGACATTCAGGCTGAGAAAATTTCAATAATGATCACATATGCCACTACTAGCATTATATGTTTGCATTTTGTTGTCTGCTGTTGCTGCACATCCAGAGTTGTCAGTTGTCTCAGTTTTGCTGTAGTGACACACGTCTATCACATCTGTTAGTACTTACTGACTTTTTTTCTTTTTCTTTTATTTATTTTTTACTCACTACTGCCATGTTACTCTCAAGACCAGATAAAAAGAGAAAAATGAATTTTGAATGATATGCTTAAAAAGTAGAATGGAGTGTTAATTATATTTTTACAGAATGGCTGTGCGAAAAGAATACAATATGCATCATTACCAAACTAAGCATGGAACACAATATTCAAAACTCACAGGAAATGAATAATCACTAAAATTGAAAAGTTTAAAACAGAGTGATTCATCACATTGCAATTTATTAATAAAAGTAAAAAATTATAATTAATAAATAACTAAAACGTTCAGGTAATAGATGAGCTGTTTGCAGAATAGAAAAACACATCATGAAGAAGTATTAGTCATCATTTCTATTTTTATATACAGTACACTCCCGATTATCCGCGGAATTGGGTAGCGCGGCCGCCGCGGATAACAAAAATCGCGGATAATCCGAAAAAAAGCTAAAAACGGGTATAGCAAAAGAGAAAACAGTCATTCCAACTTTGAAAAATCGTTTTATGTACAATAAAACGTAAAATAAACAGCAGGAAATGTTTAACTAACGCTTAATATTTTAGTATATCACTCAAAACTAACCTAAAATGCATTTGTTAATGAAAACAGAAAAGTGCTTTGTATACTTACGAGAGGCGTCAAGGATACACAGAAAAATTAAAACATATGTACTGTTTTAAATGTATTATGTAATTACAAAAGCATAACTGTAAAACTATACCTTTTTGAAGAAATCAGTCATTTGTGTTTGCTTCTTGCTTTGGAAGCATTTTCTCTTGATCCGAGATTGCATTTTTCGTAGCATAAGTTTCTCGGCCAACTCCGCGTCGTCTTGTTCTTCCAAATAGCTCAGCAGTTCGTAGGCTTTGCAAAGCCGCTTCGTGAGTCTTCTGCATCTGCACAGTGGCTCTTCTTCGACTTCACTTCGCTGTCCTTCATTCTCGGTCTCTCCCCTTTCTTTCTTCACAATTTCGTCATCTGTCAAGGGTTCGAAGCCAGGTTTGTTGACGTCACACTCCAACCACTCGTTAATGTTTTCAGCATCGACGTTCTCACCACCCGGAACTGTTTTCACCATATCGGCAAGAGTTGCCGTGGGCGTGTCTACATCTTCATTCTCTTCTTCACAACTCAAAGGGTTTAGGTTGTTGTTGGCTTCAACATTAGGCATGAGTTTTCTCCATGAATTTTATGAGGGTTGACGGTTTCACTGAGTCCCATGCAGATGCAATATTGTAGATGCTGTCCAAGATTGTGTAGTGTTTCCAAAACTCTTTCAGATCATAACCTTCTTCAATTTACTGGTCATTAGCAGCTTGGTTCGGTATGTTCTCTTCATTGTTGCAATGACTCCTTGGTCCATGGGTTGGATTAGCGCAGTAACGTTTGGGGGGGGAGAAACATTGCAAAAATTTGTCCATCAGAAGACTTTAGCACGCTTGTTGCTGGGTGAGAAGGTGCGTTGTCGATCAATAGCAACAGCTTTTTCAGGCAGGTTTTTCGATTTAAGATGTTTACGCACTTGAAGAACAAAGATTTTTTCGAACCATCTTGAAAAATGTGTCAGTTCATTCATCCTCTTTTTTTGGTTGAAAGATAAAGTAATCAATAGGCAAATTTTCTATCCTTGTGCCTTTGAAAGATCTCGGTTTTTTTTTTACTTTCCAATAACAACAAGTCTAAGTTTATGTCCACCGGTAGCGTTACTGCAAGACATGATAGTGATCCTTTCCTTGCTGCTTTTATGACTCGCCGCTTTACTTTCACTTTCAGATGTTAAAGTGCGAGTGGGAAGATATTTCCATAAAAGTTCCGATTCGTCGGCATTGTAAATTTGTTCAAAAGATAGCTCTTCTTTTAAAACAAATTCAAAAAATTCATGGTGGAAATCATCGGCTGTCACCATTAAGTTTCTCCCCGTGATGTCCAATTTCTCGAATTCCATGTCGCTGTTTAAAATGAGTCAACCAGCCAGAAGACGCATCAAAATTTCCTTTCAGGCCTAACAACTCAAAATTTTTCTCTTCGCCTCAATGTGATAGGACCATTTACAGGAGTACCCTCTTTTCAAACTTGAGCTAACCACTCTGTCAATGCCGTGCCTAGCTCATCAAAGGTAGAACCCTTCATAGTTTTTCGCATTTTCATTGCGGAAGCACTGTCCGACATTGACGCAAAGTTCATCAGTTTGTCTCTTTGGTTTAGAATGTCACGCACTGTTGTTTCTGCGATTCCGTAATCCAATTCCATCTGCTGCCTTGTAGCGCCGTTTGCTACTTTGGAAATTAATTCTAGTTTTTGCGCAATCGTCAACACAACCTTCTTTCATTTTCCTGACATTTTAAATCGGTAACGAAAAACACAAAACCAAAAAGCACAAGCACTGAACACAATAAAAGATAAGAAATTAACTCCGACTAGTTCGCAAACACTATCAGGCTTAAACTAACAATGGCGAGTGGGAGGAAGTGGACGTGTCAGTAAGATTAAGACGAGAGAGGGCGGTGGAGCGGGCACTGCAAGGGAGAGTAAGAAATCACTTACTCATCAGAGGGTAAGGTTTCGAGAAGGCTGAGGGGAAGGTTCCGAAAAAGACTGGGATATTTTTGCTATAAACAAGCACGATGTTTAGCAAATTTAACATTTCGCCCAGTTTTGTGAAAATTTTTATTTTCTTTGCTTTACGCTTGTATAAAAAAAAAAAAAAAAAAGACAGTGTGCTGCAGGCGCGGATAATCGGGAGTCTACTGTACATCTTAGTCTTCACCAGTACCCCACTAGGGTAGTTCCGTACTTATCGGTCAAAACTAGAACAATGTGCAAAATGTACAATTTTGGACTTTCATGCATTAAAAAAGTAACATGCTTTTATCAGCTTTCTAACTGTAACTATAACTATATAGTGGAGCACTGTTTATACGTCTTTTAAGGGACCATTCACAAACGACATTTCCAATTTTCGCCAAGGGGTACCCGTAAATATACTTTACCTAATTATTTTACTATCAATCTAACACATATTAAAAAATTAACAATTCTTATTTAGATTAGTGGTTTTATGTTATGAAATATGAAATATCGAAAAAATATACTTCATTTCTTCCTTCTTTTTTTGCATTTTTTCCAAATGCTCATTTTCTCTTTCAACTTGCCCCTAAAAATGTAGATATTCAGATTTATAATTAAAGTTATATTGAATTATCTATGAGAAAAATTTAATATTAAAAAAGTAAAACTTCACTTGTAATCCAGCCATAAATGCATCTAATGGGTCTTCCTCACTGTCTGAATCTTTATCCTGATTTTGCAAGTCCAAACCAGGGCTACCAGGTGCAGGGATATATGCAAGCGTGTTAGTATTATTAGGAACTTCGTCTTCATCTTCTTGTTCAAAATACCTAAAGAATAAATGAAAATTTTTATTCAGATTTAAAAAATTATGTTTTGAAATGAAGCTTAAATCAATTTCAATGTAAAAAACACATAATTTTTCTGCTACATTTATATATATTTTAATTTGACTGACAAATATCAAACATATTTTGCACACATTTCATGAATTGCAAAAATTAAGAAACATTAAAAAATAATGCAGCCTTGATTATACAAACTGGGTATCTGAACTCACTAAAATTTGTTTAGATATATTCAAATGAATATTGCAGGAACGCCTGGAATAAATTACAAAAGTAATTTGCAAAATGCTTCAAAATTTTCCAGTTACTTTTTTTTCCCTAATACTTATTTATTTCCTTCTACATGTCTATTAATTCTCAGAATAACATTTTTGTCTTTAACTATTCTACTGTGCCTCTCCATACACTTTACTCTAGTTTTTTATTTTTGTATTGTCTATGACTGTAATTGCTGAATAATAGAAGTTTTTATAAGCATTTCAAATTATGATACTAAAATGCCAAAGTATTGTACTTTAATTAATAAAAAATTAATCAAAACATATGAAGCAGTTAAGTGCATTAGCTGTAGATTTTATAATGTTCAAAGGTCACCACTACATGTTTTTTGGAAGGGCAAATTACCCGCCCACCTCCAAAAGACTTAAAACAAACTATAATTAAAAAATAAATAAAAATCTGAAAGCTTCCAGATTTTGTATTACTATAAAGGTTTAAAGTTTATAGTAAAAACCTTTCACGTTATGTGCATTACCTTTATTTATTAAATATTGCAAAATAATTTAAAAAGAGCATATCTTTAGAATTTCCGATACACAGTCTCGCGCGTTGGAGATAAAAATGGTCCTCACCGTATAGTGTTGCCATTGTAATAAAATAAATTCCAAATTCAGGCTTCCAGATGCCCATATTTGGGTGGAAATGTACGTTATGCAAAATTTGATGGCTCTATGTACCATTGTTTTATCACAATGCGAGAAACATACACGCATTTATGGAGATCCTTCATTATTTAATTTGTTTAAATATAATACAGGGCAACAATATTTGGTAGCAACAATTTGAAAAGTGGTTCAGACTTTTAAAGTTTTCGATGCAAAATGCTAAAACAAAATTAATAGCCCTTCTGGGCTAAACTTTCTTCATTAAAACAAATAACATTTTTGAATGGGTGATTTATTTGAAATTCTTTTTGAATGTTAGAAATATTTTAGTGGGGTAACTCTTAATTCTTTTTTGGCACTGCTTTACACTAACATGCTAATTATCATCATCAGGTGGAAAACTGCCATTGCAAGAGACAAAAGATATTAAATTTAAATTTACCTACCACACACACTGACAAAGGGCCAATTTCCATTGTATTAAACTTGTGTCTTTGGTTTCAGATTCTATCCACTTAAAAAAGTGGATATTTTTTTTTAATAATCACACTTCTTAATTTTAATCTTTATTTTATTTTTAATACCAATTCTAACAGATAAATTTAAAATATATTTAATGTATAATATATCCAATTATAATTTTTAAGTTTTGCAGCTATTAAAGTTATGCTTTTGGTTTCAGATTCTACCCACTTAAAAAAGTGGATTTCTTAAAATAATAATATAATAATCACACTTCTTAATTTTAATCTTTATTTTATTTTTAATACAATACACAGTCCGTAATCCGGACGTCCATTATCCGGAATGATCTATAATCTGGACCTCAAAGCAACAAACTTCACGCATGCGCGTAGAGAATGCACATACATTACGCGAGCGCATAAATAATGCGCATACATTATACATATATCTGGTAAGATGGCATGCAGAAATTATAAAATTAAAAATATGAAACCATAATTTATGAAATGAAGAACAATTATGATCTAAAGGGTATCAAAATTTACAAAAAAAAAGCTTAATATTTAATTTGTTTAATTTATTAAACATTTTTTTCAATGCAAGTTGTTTAAGTTGCTTCGTTTTATGTGATAATACTTTCTCTTTAATTCTATAAACAGACATAATTTCTTGTTCAGTTGCAAAGTTCCGCTGTTCAAGTCCTATAATTGCTGTGTCGAGAATACCGACTAATTTGTCAATCGAAATTTTTTCATTTTCAATAACCTCTGTGTCACTTTCCTTCACTATCGGAAGCGAATTATAATGACGAGGAATTTGATTTAAATCATATCAAAGACGGAGTACATCGAAATGAAATACTACATTTAGTAAGGAATTATAAGCCAAATAAAATAAAAACATTTGCCCTGAAGATAAGGATAGTGCTGACAGATCAACTTCTAATTCATTGCATGCCACGGCGTCCCCCCCTCCCGCGCCGCAGAGCAGCGTGAAATTGATAAACAGATTTTGGAATGGTTAGAGAAACAAAGGATATGCCTTTATCCATTTTTTGCAGCAATTCCACTTTTTGTTTAATGGACTTCGAAACATACTTTCGCTTTGTAGATCCTTTACATATTAGTAAATATATATTGGAAATTTTATTTGACATAATCGAAAGTTCAAGCTTACTTTTATAAAATTGCTCTAACAGTCTGCAAAAAATAATAAGCCGGATCCAATTCGAAAAAACAACGCAATCTGCAACATTAACTGAATTAGATAATTTTAGCTTAGCTTATATTGTCGGTTCAGGCAAGGCTGGAGTCTTGCAGTTTGTTTTAAAAGTTCCATGAAAGTCCTTTGAAGTGTATAATAAATGAAGTAATCGGCATAATGGTTAGGAACGTTGACGAACAGTCTTTATGAACCGAGGAGAATAATGTCACACCTGAAGACAGTACGCTTTGAAGGAGAGAGAAAGTGCAAAGCAATGGGTGCAGTACGATATCATGTTGCAGGTAAAAAAATGCCTTAAATTGCTACCCGAAGCTTATACCGTCCGTTATACATTAAACACGCATGCATAAACATATTATGCACATGCGCACACACATATTCGCAGCCGTAAAGATCTTACGCGCATGCGTCAACGCGACGCATGTGCAGAAAGTTTGTAGCTTTGAGGTCTAGATTATGGGTGTCCCGAATTAACGACTTTTGACTGTAGAACATATTCTTCACTTCTCTATAAAATATCTCCAATACTTTTCTGAAAAATGAAAATAACACAAATACTCAGAACTTTTTTTGTAAGGAGAAAATTATGAATGCGAATTGCTAACATTTATATGAAAAATGAAAATACAATAATATGTGGTTTACTTGGAGAATTCTTGTCACAAGCAATGTATAAATAATCATGATTAGGACCGACGGCAATTTGTTGGTGCTTTATCAATAATCTTGGCAACATTTAGAAAACAGAAGTAGTATAAATAAAGGAGTACCGAAAATTTATTATCTGAACCATCTGAATACCAGAATATAACAATGTTATTCAGTCTGGAAAATGAATGCTTCAAAACAAGAAAAAAAATTTTTACTCACTCTTCTTCTGTTTTGGGCCTTTTACGAGGTATACCATAGGTAGCATCTAATGCATTTTGTGTAATTGCTTGAAGGCCAGTATATCCATGTTTATTCACCATTGTTGGAGGAGGCATTGCTGAAAGAGAATGCGCTACAGGTTGTTCTGGCTTTTTTCCGCCTAATGCAAAACCACCAAATCCAAAACCTCTCGGTTTGCCATCACCTCCTTTATGAAACATTATGAATACCTGAAATCTTAAATGGACATAACACATTTTAAAAATTTTAATGCAGAACATGTTCGCATAATTTATTCTTAGTTAAGATAATAACTTTTTTTGTGTGTGTGCGTGTGTGTGTACTTTTCTATAACTCAACCTACACTACCCTTCTTTTTTTTTAAATGCAGCACAATTCAAAATTTACTTATTAATACAGATTTACTTATTACTTTATTTACTTATTACATTATTTACTTAATACATAATATAAAATGTACTTATTAATACATTTTCAATGACCTCTGTGTCACTTTCCTTCACTATCGGAAATATAGTGCTCTCAAAAAGAAAAGAGTTAAGAAATAGTACAATAAAAATTAAGGCAACAACAAATTAATACACTGATTTTTTTTAAAGTTAGTTCTTAAAATATTTGTAAAATACACAGGGAATATAACAAATGAAATCTTGATTTTTTATGATTTTACTAAAAGTGTTTAAATGTAGAAATGCAATTAAATCCTAAACTTTCAAAATGATCAAAACAAAACATGAATATCTTAAAAAGCTAAGCTAAAAAAGGTACAATTTATTTTATTAAATGTCAGGGTGAAAAGTAAAATTTTACTAATGACTCTTACATTTAATTAAATTCACTTTTTTTGGCAAAAGATATTACGTGATTGAGTTGAAAATTATGAAATAATTTACATATGAAACAGTACACAAACTCCAGAACCTTTTTGCTATTTTATTAACAAAATAAACATAATATTAAAGCATAGGGTACTTTCTGATTATCTCAACCTCCACAAAATTTATTCAAAACATTAGTGATATAATGAATCAGCAAAAAAACATTTGGCTAGCTTAATAGCTTATAGGTACTATCTAATCCATAAATAGTAATAAAAAGAAGCATTTTATAAGAAGTAAGAATGTTTATTAAAAAATTAAGAAAAGTATATTTTAGGGTACCCCTTGGCGAAATTTTGCGATTTTTGGCGGTACATAGGATACTGAGTTTCTGCAATTCTTTGACTTATTATTTTGGCCTGCGTAGCAGCGATTTTTGGCGCAAAAACTGTTGATTCGCAAACCAAAATAAAAAGTAAAAAAATTCCCCAAACTCGGAATCCATGTACACATTGACCCATTTTCACTTAAAAAAATCAGAGAATTGCACAAACTATGCTTTACGCACTCCCTTGAGTTTGTCCATGTACACATTGATATATTTTCACATAAAAAGTCAAAGGAGCACCCAATTCTACAGCAGAGGCAAACAAAAATACATAATCTCAATAAACTACATTTTAAACCAAACAATAAATTAACACAAAAAAAAAGGAAAAACCTGTTATATATTTTAGCACTACACAAAGCAAATACTCCCTTATTTAGAAATCCGTTTCTCTTCAAGCTGTGTCACACAAAATTCTTTAATACCATCCAAAAACTTCCTAAAGTTATCTGAACTACAATCCGTATATAAGCGTCGCCACAGAAATTCACAAAAATAAGACTCAAAAATATACTACGTAGTTCCGGACTACAGCTACTAAGTAAACCTTCATTTACACACCAGTCAATTAATGCACTTTTCCCCTTTCGTTCCAAATCATACAGAAACTTCAAATTAATCCTACAACATTCGGCCTTTGTACTGTCTAAGCAATGAAACAAGCAATGTACTTCCTAAGCAACACACACCACAAAAGCAGTTGCAAAACCTCCCATGATTCAAAATTTCCCAGAATAATGCAAATGATTACGTCATAATAGGGTTTCCATAACATTCAACTACTCAGGTTACCATAAATGATACAACTTGGCGATAAACGAAACAACAACAACTTGCCGATAATACAAAAGGTACCTTAAAGTCAACTCTAACCAAAATTAAGTTTATATACGGCCAATATTTACATTTTTAGACCTGGTGAATATCGTTCAGCTAAATATAAAATATGTAAATCTATGTATGTGGTACACACATACATGAATATGCTTTTGTTGATGGTATATTAAAAAATATTTCTACTGAATGTTGAAACCAAATGAGCAGATAATAAGAAAGCATCAAAAATTCTTTTACTATTATAATTTGCACTTTGTGTATTACTACTAAAAACATCGGCTAATCTTTGGAATATGGTAACTGGTAGTTTGGCGACATTTTGGAGGCGATAAAGGTTACTACCTAGGACTTTGGTAATAATGTGAGAAGTACTCAGTTCCGATTACGCATTATTTTGTGTGAGGGAAATGAGAGATCATGAGATATGTCATGTGACATTAATGGACGAATTACAGTTGTTTAATCGGAAAAGGGGGGAAATCTGGAAATTTCGTATTTAGCTATATTCTGTGTTGTGTGAAACGTGACATTAATGGACGAATTACAGTTCTTTAATCGGAAAAGGAGGTTAATTTGGAAAAGCTTCATTGTGTGTTGTGTGAAATAGGAAATATTGGTGAAAATGGACATTTTGTGAAAAGGAGTGTAAGGAAGGGTACGTGGTTTGCTGAAAGTAGTTTGAGTATATGGTCAAATTTTATTAATTTCTTATTACTTGGTGAATAGACTTCCAGTTGACTACTGGATTTAGGATTTAGAAATTAAGCAGCAGTACTGCAGCGACGTAATCAAGATTCTGAAGAAGGTAAGTTAGTATTTTTAATTATTTGAGGATATTATTTTTATGCATTGTTCTAAATGTAAGGAGTAAATAAATTAAAATGGTATTATTTGGAAAATTGTATTAGCAATGATTTAGTTTAAAGTAATTAGGATTGTAATTTAATTTTTATTAATTTAATGTATGCTTATTTATATTTAAGTATTGTTTTTTAATTTAATTATATTTTAATTTAATGATCGTGATTTTTGTGAGTTATATGTTTGTAGTATTTTGGAATATGTTGAGTAGTATACATTGTATTTTCATGAATTTTTTCTAATTTATGAGAAAAAAGCAGTGTACATGGATATAGTGAAGAGTGTGCGCAATGCCATTTTTGTGCAATTCTGGGATGTTTTTTTAAGTAAAAATAAGTCGACGTGTACATGGTTTAGTGATATTTTAATTAAATGATAGTTATTTTGTGAATTTTATGTTTGTAGGAATTTGGTATACGTTTTAGTTGAAGTAAACGTGCATGGAAATAATTTAAATATTTGACACTAAGTATTTGTAATGTTTGCGGTATGAATTCGTTGGTGACGTTTATAATATAATAGATAATTTAGAGGTAAAAGTTTTTGGATATTTTATTTATTTTATATGTGGAAATGTTCATATTTGGAAAGGGTATATACTTTTTCGCGATCAGGTAATTTCATATATGTTCTTTTTACCGGGTTTAAAGATTCAGAAAATTGTCATGTATTTTCGTGAAATTTTTCTAATTTATGAGAAAAAAGCAGTGTACATGGATATAGTGAAGAGTGTGCGCAATGCCATTTTTGTGCAATTCTGGGATGTTTTTTTTAAGTAAAAATAAGTCGACGTGTACATGGTTTATGTGTATGTGTTATTTTGAAAAACGCGTAAGGAGTTTGGTATTGTGCACTTTTTCCCAATTTTGCAGTGAATATTTGTCATGATTAAGCAGTTTTGTTAGATAAAATTTCTAGCATAAGTGTAATTCGGCTAGTAGATTGTTGGAAAAAGTGTTCAGTAGATAAAAAGAAAAGATAAAAAAAAATAGAGGGTTGCTGTAGAAGAGTTGGTCGCCAAATTTTCGCCAAAAAATCGCCAAGTTACCATAATCCAAAGATCACCAAACATTCACATTTTATTTAGTAATTCTACGCTCCAAGTGGCTAAACCATATTAAAAAAACATTAAAAAATATTTATCATAATAGCTTTCAGTATACAGAAATGCATCGAGATGTGTTCTGGCCAGTTAAACCATTATAAATATCATCGATATTCTTATCAAGGGTGCAGTGCGTAAAAGTACACAGGCAGCAAAAATCAGGAGCGGCCAATTAAATATTTTAAATTCATTGTAAGTACTTGTCAGTACTTTTTATACAGTTTGTCATATGTAACTATTTAGTGAATATGAAATAAAAATTTTATTAATCGTTGAAAAAATTTTTTTTTTTAATTTTGGGGGCGGCAATCTTAGGAAAGTACGAGGGCAGACAATGGCCTAGAAATGGCACTGATAAATATCAGGAAAAAATAAGTCAAGGTGCAAAGTAAGAGAGTGATTTTGAAATGATAATCAAGAAAATATTTCTTGCTCATAGCCCTCACTTAAAAAACATCAGAGAATTGCACAAATTATGCTTTACGCACTCCCTCGAGTTTGTCCATGTACACATCGATATATTTTCACATAAAAGTCAAAGGAGCACCCAATTCTACAGCAGAGGCAAACAAAAATACAAAATCTCAATAAACTACATTTTAAACCAAACAATAAATTAACACAAAAAAAGGAAAAACCTGTTATATATTTTAGCGCTACACAAAGCAAATACTCCCTTATTTAGAAATCCGTTTGTCTTCAGTCTGTGGCACACAAAATTGTTTAACACCATCCAAAAACTTCCTAAAGTAATTTGAACTACAATCCGTATATCAGCGTTGCCACAGAAATTCACAAAAAATAAGACTAAAAAATATACTACATAGTTCTGGACTACGGCTACTATATAAACCTTCATTTACACACCAGTCAATTAATGCACTTTTCCCCTTTCGTTCCAAACCATACAGAAACTTCAAATTAATCCTACAACATTCGGCCTTTGTACTGTCTAAGCAATGAAACAAGCAATGTACTTCCTAAGCAACACACACACCACAAAAGCGGTTGCAAAAACCTCCCATGATTCAAAATTTCCCAGAATAATGCAAATGATTACGTCATAATAGGGTTTCCATAACATTCAACTACTCAGGTTACCATAAATGATACAACTTGGCGATAAACGAAACAACAACTTGCCGATAATACAAAAGGTACCTTAAAGTCAACTCTAACCAAAATTAAGTTTATACGGCCAATATTTACATTTTTAGACCTGGTGAATATCGTTCAGCTAAATATAAAATATGTAAATCTATGTATGTGGTACACACATACATGAATATGCTTTTGTTGATGGTATATTAAAAAATATTTCTACTGAATGTTGAAACCAAATGAGCAGATAATAAGAAAGCATCAAAAATTCTTTTACTATTATAATTTGCACTTTGTGTATTACTACTAAAAACATCGGCTAATCTTTGGAATATGGTAACTGGTAGTTTGGCGACATTTTGGAGGCGATAAAGGTTACTACCTAGGACTTTGGTAATAATGTGAGAAGCACTCAGTTCCGATTACGCATTATTTTGTGTGAGGGAAATGAGAGATCATGAGATATGTCATGTGACATTAATGGACGAATTACAGTTGTTTAATCGGAAAAGGGGGGAAATCTGGAAATTTCATATTTAGCTATATTCTGTGTTGTGTGAAACGTGACATTAATGGACGAATTACAGTTCTTTAATCGGAAAAGGGGGTTAATTTGGAAAAGCTTCATTGTGTGTTGTGTGAAATAGGAAATATGGTGAAAATGGACATTTTGTGAAAAGGAGTGTAAGGAAGGGTACGTGGTTTGCTGAAAGTAGTTTGAGTATATGTCAAATTTTATTAATTTCTTATTACTTGGTGAATAGACTTCCAGTTGACTACTGGATTTAGGATTTAGAAATTAGCAGTAGTACTGCAGCGACGTAATGAAGATTAGGTAAGTTAGTATTTTTAATCATTTGAGGATATTATTTTTATGCATTGTTCTAAATGTAAGGAGTAAATAAATTAAAATGGTATTATTTGAAAATTGTTATTAGCAATGATTTAGTTTAAAGTAATTAGGATTGTAATCTAATTTTTATTAATTTAATGTATGTGCTTATTTATATTTTAAGTAGTGTTTTTTAATTTAATTATATTTTAATTTAATGATCGTGATTTTGTGAGTTATATGTTTGTAGTATTTTGGAATATGTTTGAGTAGTATACATTGAGTATTTTCATGCATTTTCGTGAAATTTTTCTAATTTATGAGAAAAAAGCAGTGTACATGGATATAGTGAAGAGTGTGCGCAATGCCATTTTTGTGCAATTCTGGGATGTTTTTTTAAGTAAAAATAAGTCGACGTGTACATGGTTTAGTGATATTTTAATTAAATGATAGTTATTTTGTGAATTTTATGTTTGTAGGAATTTGGTATACGTTTTAGTTGAAGTAAACGTGCATGGAAATAATTTAAATATTTGACACTAAGTATTTGTAATGTTTGCGGTATGAATTCGTTGGTGACGTTTATAATATAATAGATGATTTAGAGGTAAAAGTTTTTGGATATTTTATTTATTTTATATGTGGAAATGTTCATATTTGGAAAGGGTATATACTTTTTCGCGATCAGGTAATTTCATATATGTTCTTTTTACCGGGTTTAAAGATTCAGAAAATTGTCATGTATTTTCGTGAAATTTTTCTAATTTATGAGAAAAAAGCAGTGTACATGGATATAGTGAAGAGTGTGCGCAATGCCATTTTTGTGCAATTCTGGGATGTTTTTTTAAGTAAAAATAAGTCGACGTGTACATGGTTTATGTGTATGTGTTATTTGAAAAACGCGCAAGGAGTTTGCTATTGTGCACTTTTTCCCAATTTTGCAGTGAATATTTGTCATGATTAAGCAGTTTTGTTAGATAAAATTTCTAGCATAAGTGTAATTCGGCTAGTAGATTGTTGGAAGAAAGTGTTCAGTAATAAAAAGAAAAGAAACATACTGGCGGCGGAAGAAAAAAAATAGAGGGTTGCTGTAGCAGAGTTGGTCGCCAAATTTTCGCCGAAAAATCGCTAAGTTACCATAATCCAAAGATCAACCAAAAATTCACATTTTATTTAGTAATTCTACGCTCCAAGTGGCTAAACCATATTAAAAAAAAGCATTAAAAAATATTTATCATAATAGCTTTCAGTATACAGAAATGCATCGAGATGTGTTCTGGCCAGTTAAACCAGTATAAATATCATCGATATTCTTATCAAGGGTGCAGTGCGTAAAAGTACACAGGCAGCAAAAATCAGGAGCGGCCAATTAAATATTTTAAATTCATTGTAAGTACTTGTCAGTACTTTTTATACAGTTTGTCATATGTAACTATTTAGTGAATATGAAATAAAAATTTTATTAATCGTTGAAAAAAATTTTTTTTTTTAATTTTGGGGGCGGCAATCTTAGGAAAGTACGAGGGCAGACAATGGCCTAGAAATGGCACTGATAAATATCAGGAAAAAATAAGTCAAGGTGCAAAGTAAGAGAGTGATTTTGAAATGATAATCAAGAAAATATTTCTTGCTCATAGCCCTCACTTAAAAAACATCAGAGAATTGCACAAATTATGCTTTACGCACTCCCTCGAGTTTGTCCATGTACACATCGATATATTTTCACATAAAAAGTCAAAGGAGCACCCAATTCTACAGCAGAGGCAAACAAAAATACAAAATCTCAATAAACTACATTTTAAACCAAACAATAAATTAACACAAAAAAAGGAAAAAACCTGTTATATATTTTAGCGCTACACAAAGCAAATACTCCCTTATTTAGAAATCCGTTTGTCTTCAGTCTGTGGCACACAAATTGTTTAACACCATCCAAAAACTTCCTAAAGTAATTTGAACTACAATCCGTATATCAGCGTTGCCACAGAAATTCACAAAAAATAAGACTAAAAAATATACTACATAGTTCTGGACTACGGCTACTATATAAACCTTCATTTACACACCAGTCAATTAATGCACTTTTCCCCTTTCGTTCCAAACCATACAGAAACTTCAAATTAATCCTACAACATTCAGCCTTTGTACTGTTTAAGCAATGAAACAAGCAATGTACTTCCTAAGCAACACACACCACAAAAGCGGTTGCAAAAACCTCCCATGATTCAAAATTTCCCAGAATAATGCAAACGATTTTGTCATAATAGGGTTTCCGTAACATTCAACGACTCAGGTTAGCATAAATGATACAACTTGGCGATAAACGAAACAACTTGGCGGTAAAGGAAACAGCAACTTTCCGATAATACAAGAGGTACCTTAAAGTCAACTCTAACCAAAATTAAGTTTATACAGCCAATATTTACATTTTTAGACCTGGCGAATATCTTTCAGCTAAATATAAAATATGTAAATCTATCTATGTATCAAACATGTATGTGGTACACACATACATGGGTATGCTTTTGTTGACGGTACATTAAAAAATATTTCTACTGTATGTTGAAACCAAATGTGCAGATAATAAAAAAGCATCAAAAATTCTTTTACTATTATGATTTGCAGTTTGTGTATAACTACTAAAAACATCCACATTTTATTTAGTAATTATACGCTCCTAGTGGCTAAACCATATAAAAAAAAAAGCATTAAAAAATATTTATCATAATAGCTTTCAGTATACAGAAATGCATCGAGATGTGTTCCAGCCAGTTAAACCAGTATAAATATCATCGATATTCCTATCGGGGGTGCAGTGCGTAAAAGTACACGGGCGGCAAAAATCAGGAGCGGCCGATTAAATATTTTAAATTTGTTGTAACTTACTTGTCAGTACTTTTTATACAGTTTGTCATATGTAACTATTTAGTGAATATGAAATAAAAATTTTATTAATCATTGAACATTTTTTTTTAAATTTTGGGGGCGGCAATCTTAGGAAAGTACGAGGGCAGACAATGGCCTAGAAACGGCACTGATAAATATCAGGAAAAAGTAAGTCAAGGTGCAAAGTAAGAGAGTGATTTTGAAATGATAATCAAGAAAATATTACTTGCTCATAGCCTTTTGGTAAGTCTGTGCCAAACCATATCTCCTTAAATTGTTAAAAAACATTTAAGGTGCTTGGTAATGCATTTCAAATTACTAAAATACTCCTTTGTCAAAACACAGCCTATTAAGCTTATATTAATTCAATAAATTCAGCTCTTTTTTTTTTTTTTCTCTCAGAAATATCAGCATTTTAAGGGTAACTGCCCATATTACAGCAATGTTTTTATTAGATCAAAATACATAAAAAGCCATATCACAATATGCCTTTTTGATAAATAAACTTAAAATTATCTCATGCAGAATGTGTAAATACTTCATCAGAATTTTTGGTTTATCCATAAATGAAAAATAAAATGAATGAAAAGTAAATGAAGGCTACTCAAGGGGAAAACAGTTCACACAAAAGATTCATAAAACTAACCTATTTTTAAGGAATAATCCAAATATTTAAAATTACTCAATATACACTCAGTATAATACACTAAAAAAGTGGAATCAAATGACATTAAAATTGTTTTTCCAATTATATGTCAACTATACTTATACAAGAACAAACGCTTCAAAACATATTTCCAATTACTGATCAAAATTACATAAGTAAAGACGTATATATATATATATAAGCACACAAAAATTTAATTTAATGTAGCATTTCATTTCAATGACGAAAAATGGAATGTTAAAAAGTTCAGAAGTAAATAAATTACCTTGAATATAAGAAAATTATAAGATATTTATGACATGAAATGAATAACTCTATAAAAACAAGATGAAATTTTTTTAAATGTTAAAATTATGAATTTCAATTTAGCTTTTTTACTGAAATGCGCTTCGATCTACGACTCTAACAGTGTTTGAAGAAGTTTGAAGGCAAAATTTTAATGAGTGTTTAGTTGTTTAAAACTTCTGCAAAGCAGTCATAATTACAAACAGAATCCGCCTCCCTCAAGGAGGTCTATTTTGGCTTCCCCGGTAACTTATTCACAAAGTTTACAGACCGTCCTTCTGCTGTTTTCTCCGATTGGTTCAAAGATGTGTCGGCACGGTTTAAATTGACAGTTCCAAGTACCCCAACAAGGTATGCTGCTGGGTCCACCGCAATTATTGATTTTTTCCTGTTGCGGAACACCAGTTCTCCACTGGATATTTCCGTACTGGACGAACTTTCAAGTGATCACAATCCTGTTAGGATTATTTTGGATCTCAGCAGATATACTACATCAGACACCAGGGCCTTTCGTACAGACTGGCAGGTCTTTGCCAAAGCCCTCTCCAACACTCAGTACACTTTACCCACGATACACAAGGGGAGTGACATTGATAGTTTGGTCAAAGACCTCACTGAAAATATACAAAATGCTTATGAGAAAGCACAAGTTGAAGTTAAACCTGGTATGAAACACAAGCCTCAAGACTCAGATTATTGATTAAAGAGAGAAATGCTGCAAGACGAGCGTATCAACGTACCAGACACCGTGATGATAAAAGGAACTTCAATCGCCTGTGCGAAGCGGTCAAGTTTCTTACAAATAAACTCTCACAAGATGTCTGGACTAACTACCTCAGATCTCTTTCTGTAGAGGATAACTCCTTGTGGAAAGCAGTGAAGAGGTACAAAAAATGCTACAAAGCCATTCCGCCCCTTCACGGCCGTCAACGGATCCATTACACTGGAACTGAGAAAGCAGAACTTTTAGCTCAACATATGGAATCTCAGTTCTGCATTAACAACATTTCAGACTCAGACACTGAACAGCTTATTGCTGACTTCCACTTCAATTTTACAACACAGCCATGCACAGACAACATTATCTCAGCCATGCCATCGGAGGTCTATATCATGCGAATTGCAAAAAGGAAGAGCCCTGGAGTAGACGGGTTCACAAATGAGATGATCAAGCACTTCCCTGTTGAGATAATACTCTACTTCACCAAGTTAGTGAATATCATACTACGATGGCAATACTTCCCAACCTGTTGGAAAACTGCCAAGATTGTCCCTCTGCTAAAGCCCAACAAGCCTGCGACTGCTCCTGAGAGTTACCGACCAATCAGTTTGCTAAGCTCAATTAGCGAATCGTGGAAGCAGTTATTCTCCATAAACTAAACATCTTCCTGGACGAGCAGAAGATCCTCATACCGTATCAGTTGGGGTTCAGGCGTAAGCACTCGACAACGCATCAACTCTACAGAGTTGTTGAGTCAATAAGCAGTGGGATGCAACAACGTCGTGTCACTGGTGGACTTTTCTTAGATGTCGCCAAGGCCTTCGATAGAGTATGGCTGGATGCCCTCATTTACAAATTATACAACCTGGGACTCCCAGGCTACATCACAAACATAATTAAATCCTACCTAACCGGTAGACACTTTGTCGTTCATGTTTCTGGTTCATTATCCACAAACCGGCCTATTAGGGCTGGTGTTCCACAGGGATACCTTCTGGGCCCTACCCTATTCAATATTTACGTGATCGACATCCCCAATACACACAACACAACACTAGCCATATATGCAGACGACACAGCGATCCTTACGCAAAGTGCATTTGTTAGTTCAGCAATAAAACAGCTACAACACCACATCCACTCGCTTAAGACTTGGCTGACCAAATGGAAAGTCAAAGTGAATGTCGACAAGACACATGCCCTACTTTTTACCACTAAGAAGAATTTCCCGACTCACCTGCAAATGTATGGTGTGGACATTCCCTGGGTCAAGCAAGTCCCTTATCTTGGGGTGATCCTCAGTAAATCTCTTACATGGAACCCACACATTATACATATTCTCAGGAAGTTTCGAGCTAATAGAGCTTCACTCTTCCCCTTAATTGCTCGAAACAGTGTTCTATCTATTGATAATAAGTTGCTCATTTACAAAACCATGTTGCGTCCAATTCTTAGTTATGCATGCCCCGTCTGGGCATACTCGTGCAAAAGTTTGAGAAGGCAGTTACAAGCTGCCCAAAACGGGGTATTGCGTATGATATGTAATGCGCCCTGGTACATTCGGAATAGCCAAATTCGTAAAGAATTAAGAATAGAGGTCTTTGTGATTTTTATTGCCGCCTATCTAGGGCATTTTATGATAAACAGGAACTTCTGGACAATCCTGTGATTGTTAACTATTGTTATGATACTAGGGACCCCAATTTCAGTAAACGCCCAAGGGCGATCCTAAATGTTAGTAGTATGTAATTTTGTATATGTGTTATGCAAATTGTTGCTCAGATTCTTTATTGTATATTGTTCTTTTTTCCTCCTGATTGCATTTTATTTTTACCAGTGGCACTAAGGCGTCGCACTTCATATTTTGTTTCTCTTGTGTGTACATGTATTCTTCTGTGAAATAGTTGTTAAAAATATAGTTAATTATGTATGGATTAGTAATTAGGTACTTAAGGAAAAAATATGTATTTAACTATTAGCAATTATGTATTTAAACTCTTACTCATTTAATTATTTAGCACATTCAGTTATATTTCTCATAATTCGAAACTTTTATCATGTTATTCGATGAGGGGTAGGGCTATGGCGACCAGGCACCCTGGTGGTTAAGCACCGCAGTTCAGATAGAAGTGCTTGGGGACTTTTGGTTCATCGCCTTTACAATTTGGTCAGCGCTAAATCCCCAAACGCGCAGGGAGGTCACGTGACATCCGAACTACGTGTAAGATGATGTCACATCAAAGATACGCCTCTTACGCTCAGTAAATTTCTGCGCATAAATTGAAACATGCTTGTGCAATATGAATTTCAGAAGCAGAAATTTTTCTGAAAATACTACACATGCTAACTAAATACGTACCAAATATTCATTTTAACATGTATAGCTTTCCAATATACTCTTGTATTTATTTTAAATCACTGAGAAACATATGAGATTTCAGTTTTAAATTCATTCTTTTAATATTTCCAATGCATTTCATCTAATAATTAGTGTTTTGTGATTTAATTTCATCATTGTATTAGAAAAAAAATTAATATTTGTTTCTCTATATATAATTCAAATGAATAATTAATTAATTTAAAATTACGAACATTTTGTAAAAAATGTGACAACTTCTATTATTTTATTGTATATCTGAAAGGAATCCAGTTTAAATATCATGTAATATATTTAAACAAAAGATCTACTGGAAGATTTTTTAGTTTTTGCATGTTCAGAACTTTTAATGTGTATATAAGTTTGTTCTGAATAGTTTTGAAAAATATATTGCACCCACACTAAATTTAAATAACAAAATTTTATCCTGTGAAATACACTCAAGTTTTAATATGAATGAGCCCTTGTGAAGCTGCCAAGGTATTTTCATAAAAAGCTAATAACAATTTAAGGCTTAAAAATGACTTCAAAGATGGATTCCAGGCTTTTCTAGTGTAAATACGAGCCAGTTTTCCCCAGAAAGTCCTTCACAAAGACATCCATCATTTTAGGTTGATAGCCCTTATGTGCTATAATCAAATAAATTAAACCAAGCTTTCGTAAGGATGTGATATTCTTTCTTCCTTATTATTATGGATCCTGTTTTTTTAAAGTTGTCAAGATTTTTTATGAATCGCCAATGTAAACTATTCTGAAACATCTGGCAGCCCCAACAATGATGATTTACAGTTTCCTTATAATGAGAAGAGCTTCGAAGAGACCATTTGATCATATTTCTTCTTATACAAATGTTAATAATTCATAATCACTCAGAATTCTCTCATCACAAGAAGAGCTCTCAGTATTCTATATATTAATGAATTTTATTTATATTTTAATCTTAAAATTCGTAATTTACTGAAAAGTGGGGAAGATGCTTGCTATATCTTTCTTTCAAGAAATGCACATATTTTACATCACATTCGAATATGCGAAAATCGACATTCAATAAAATTTCACATCAGTGAAAGCATTTAGAGGTGCAGCTTGAAAATTTGCTAATGAAAGAAAAGTATATGTTTTAACAGCTGGTTTAGTGGTTTCAGAATACTGTTTGTAACAGCATAAAATGAAAGATACATAGAAAAATATGACGATTCACTGAAACATTTTTACGAGAGAGATGTATTCTTTGCATATGATCCGCCAACCAAATATGTGAATAGGTGACCCTGAAAAAATTTTAAACATAGCAGAAAATCTCTTCATACAGCAAAAAACTAAAACTGGCATGATTCTTCCATAATGCTGTATAAATGACAAGTTATGCCAAAAAACTGAAAAATTCTTTTTCGCTCACTTTCTAAATAAAGAGCCATCCACACTCCTGCCAAAAGTTGTCGACCATCTACAAGAGGGAGTGACAATTTATTCAAACTTCTGGTGAGAATATAAAAGACAAGAACTGGTAAATACCAGCTTACAGATATTTTTCTGTGGACAATAAATTTCATTTTCTTGATCTAACAACAGCTGCTCATATATAAAATATAGAAAGACTGTGGAGCTTCACTAAGTGGTGGAATAAAAATTGAAGTGGCACGTTTCACTATCATCATGAATCTTACTTTGCAGAGTTAATATAGCAAAAATCTTTGAGACCTTGGAATGCTTCTTATGCCATATTAAAAGCAATTAAGGCAGCAGGGCAGTAACAAAGTGTACATGAGACATGAAGTTTGCAATAATTCTGATGCCAGCTTGATGTTTAAAAAAAATGGAAGCTGCAATACTAAAGAAGTATCGTAACATTTTTAAAACTAAGGCTCTGTTTATATTTCAGTTCATTTCGTTGCCATATCAGTATGTTTTGATTTTGATGTCCTCCAATTATGAATGTCTTTTAATTTCTTTTTAAAATATAGAAATATGTTATTACTCTGTATTACATATGTTTTAGTTAATTTCATAAAACTCTACATTACACTTGAAAATTTACTGAT